ATGCTGCGGACGGTTTGTCTTTCGTTGGTTTCTACAGTGGTACGGTGAGCTGACCGTTCATCCTCAATGGCAAACTACTAAACTAGAAAAACCCCAAACAATGAAACGAATTGCTAGGGTTGGTCCTGCAACGTCCTGTAAAGAAATGCAACAAACTTTATTCCTCTTTGTTTACCTTAAAAGAATGATTGCCACTGAATGTGGTCATTTACAGCTAGACGGCGACATTTGCGTCTTTCGGCTTAAAACATCAGACTTTAGCAAGTTTGTTGTTGACTCTAGTTTCAGACATGCTTGTTAAGGAGCAACTGGTTATTTAAACTCCAAAATGATGTCCAGAAATGCGCACATGGATGTGTGTTACAACAATAGGTAATTTATTAGGGATAAGGTCAGCATTTCACTAACGCCTTTACTTTCCATGATATTTTCAGTACCTATTTTAGCAGGTCAATATCTAGATGTACTTGAATTTCTCACGTCTTTGACTTGATTTGACTGTGTGTGTATTTGTCTGTCTGTGTGTCAATCTGTGTGTCTGTCTGTCTATTTGGCGAGATACAATAAATAAGTCAGGAAACAATTTTATTTGTATTCTTCTCTCCTCCTTTTTCTAATTAACAATGGAAAATATTGACATGGTTTCTTCTATATATGCTGTAAATAATCACGGAAGACTCGGTGAAAAACGCCAGTCTTGTTCTTTTGCCATGTATTTAATACAAACTTTTTTTTTTTTTTCAAGAAATAGAAAAATATATACAGCCACGGATTAGTAAACACAACAGATCTCAGAACAACAACAAAATTATGACGAACAAACTAATGGCCATTTAGCACAAGGCTGCAAACATAATTATGAAAAAGGACGTACAAAAAAAAAAAAAAAAACCATCCAAGGTCGTTAAATATGAGCATTTATGGAATATCCTGAAGGAAAGTAAGTAATCTGTTGGCTGGAAATCGATTCTGCAGCCTCGGGAGATGTATCTGACGTCTCGTGTGGAACTAACTGTCACGTGAGCCGATTTCAGTTCTGACGTGTCCTGACATCTACAAGGATGAAACTATTTGAGCTGAAACTTTAGGACATTCAGGGTTTGCTCCAGCATATACAGAATAGAAAGCCTATAAATTCATATCAGATTTATACAAAAGTATGTCATGAGCTTGTTCGGTATTCTTCTATGATTATACCTGTCTGTCTGTCTGTCTGATTTCTTATTGTTATTCGTGACGCTGACCATATCACCCATCTTGTGCCGATTGGTCTATAAAAATATAGGTCTAGCCCTATATGCCCTAAACGCCTTAAGGCGTGGAAAAAAAGACCTTTACTTTTTTTATTTACTTATTTTATAACCATAACATGTGCTTGTCTGACTGAATTCTTGTTTAATATTCTTTAGTGATGATTTTCATAGGTCTTCTTGTTTTTCTGTCTATTATTATTTATCTACATTTCTATCACCAATAGGTATGTCTATGAAAATAATAAAGAACGACTTTATTACGGCAAGATTATCGCCAATTATATAATCAAAATTTAGACTAGAATGCAATATGAATTTATAACACACATAGTGCTTAGATTAAAATAATATCACAATAATATGTTGTTTTTTTTTCGAATTTACAAGCCAGTTGTTTGTTTGTTTTAGTATCCAGAAGCCATGAGTTGTTAACCCTTAGGCTCGGTATTATGGATATCGCAACCTTTCGGCCTTGATTCCATTGTAAATACTGTAAATCTGGGAGAAAATGTGGCTTTCCTGCCTACCCCCGGGATTGAACCAGGACCACAAGGAGTACGTCACCCGGTCTCCGCGAAATCCGGTTTAGCCAACTACGCTAGAGAGCCGGGTACAAGCCAGTTAAAAATGTAAAGCTGTTGCCGTTTGTCATTACATGGTTCATCTTTTTCAAGTGGCTGTTGAATGTTTTCAATTCAGCTGTGAACAACATTCTTATAGATGGGAGGAACGTATAACAATTGCAGGGAGTTTGAAATTGTAGATGTCAGTGTTTGTACGCATCCTCAATTGGGATCTCTTTAAGTGGAAAAAGCTTTTTTTTTTTTTTAAAGGATCTGTCGAAAAGCCAATTAACGCCCCTTTATAGGGGATAAAAATGATGCACTGAAAAAAAGATTTAATAATAAAAAAGTCGAACTCGCATAATATTTTATCATCCCCCACCCCCTCTTTGATTGAAAAAAAAAAAATTTTATCACTTTCATTCACTTTTAAGCACTTGGAGTGAACTGTTTTTAATAGTGAATGTTAGAACAACTCAACGTTGGTTGGTCGAGGGCCTATGCTCCACTAGGGAATCAAATGGATAAGAAGAACAAGCAGAAGAATGTGCCTCCTCTAACGTGATTCACCTTTCTTCCTTCTGTTTGTTTTCTTCTTGTTTCTTCTCTCGAGGTGCACAAATACACCTTTCGTGATTTAACGTAGTTCAAAACTGAAGTCGTAATATTATATGGTTTCGTACTTGCAAAGATTTTCTTACCAAAATGTTTATTACGTTACGTGTTACTGTGCTTTTGTAAACCGTACATTTCTACTTTCGGAGTTCTCAAAGCTGAGATTAATAAGGTTTATGTCATCTGTTTCTTCTGTTGTAAAACTGTTTACCACCCACACCTAGAACTGTGCCAAATAGTCTCCTGTAAGACGACTTACATTTAAGCCACCCTCTCTTATCATGAAAGACATCCACACTAACTCCTGTAAGACGACTTACATTGAAGCCTACCTCCAATATATGAAAGACATCCACACTAACTCCTGTAAGACGACTTACATTGAAGCCTACCTCCAATATATGAAAGACATCCACACTAACTCCTGTAAGACGACTTACATTGAAGCCTACCTACAATATATGAAAGACATCCACACTAACTCCTGTAAGACGACTTACATTGAAGCCTACCTACAATATATGAAAGACATCCACACTAACTCCTGTAGAACGACTTACATTGAAGCCACCCACCTACACCCTGAAATACACCCAACCACCTCCTGTAAGATGTATATTGAAGCCTCACACCCACATCCTGAATTACACCAAACCAACTCCTGTAAGATGTATACTGAAGCCTCACACTCACATCCTGAATTACACCAAACCAACTCCTGTAAGATGTATACTGAAGCCTCACACCAACATCCTGAATTACACCAAACCACCTCCTGTAAGATGTATATTGAAGCTATACACCAACATCCTGAATTACACCAAACCAACTCCTGTAAGATGTATATTGAAGTCTCACATCCACATCCTGAATTACACCAAACCAACTCCTGTAAGATGTATATTGAAGCCATACACCAACATTCTGAATTACACCAAACCATCTCCTTTAAGACGACAACACCGAAGCCACCCACCCCATGCCTTTCAAACTTCGATTTAAATATATTGAAACAACAGAGATCGTTTTCACGACTGAAGAAAAAAATAACATTATGATTCCCTTTGCTTTGATCCATTGTTTCTTCGCCCTGAAACCCTCTAACCTTTCTTATATTTACTTCTGTCCTACTTCTTTTTTTTTAAATATTATTTTATGGGACGCTGGTTTGGATCGCCTGCAGTATTGAATGTGTTTCTTGCCGGCCTTTATGATGTGAAACAATTTACATATTGTGATCAATCAGGAATATGAATTTCCTATTATATTTATCATACGTGCTTAAAAGAACGTGTTTTCTCTTTCTGTCCTTACTTTCTTATATAATTGTATAAGATATCTTACTTTTTTTTCTTTCGTGTAATTTTCTCAGATCCAGTTTTGGATATAACAGAATAAAAAGACAAATGTGCATTCAAATTAACATTAAGGATGCAAAGATAGTAGTAGACATATTATCTTATAAATCTGTTTATGCAATAGAGAAGTCGCACTTTCGTTTCACTGCTCCTCAATCTTAGTTCATCACTTTATTTTGCCGCTATTCTGTTCCGTGATAAAAACATTGTTAGAAACGTTGATGTATGTACGACCTATAGCCGATCATCTTTCTTTGCATTTTCCCCCATTTGTATTGTTTATTAACAGCGTTACGGCTGTATTCAGTATACTAGGTCTCTAGTCTCCGCCTGTATAAACAAATGTCCATAACTGCTTCCCACTCATTACGTGCTGCATTGACTCACAGTCAAACAGATAGACAGACAGACTGAGAGACACTTTGATGGACAAACACGAGACATGCAAATATATAAGTGCATGGTATTTAATGTGTAATAAATGTAAAGCCACCAAAAACAACGCCATTAAAAAACATTTGAAAGTAATTAAGACAAAGAAGCAAGCAGTATAGATTGTGTGGTGTTAATGAACTGTACAATTGGACAAATGCCTTGAATAAGAATATTGCATTTGCTGATTTCTTTTACAACGGCTGTTTTTGTGATTATTATTCGTTGCGCATACATGATGTCAATGTAAACAATTGATTAAAAACCTTAACATCAATCGGACACTGCCTATTTTAAATCTGTACTGAGAACGTTAACATATCAAAACAAGAAGATTATTTCAGACAAGTGATGGAGATGTGCGAGGAAATTAAATCTGAAATAAAAACCACGGTACAAAAATAAAACTCGTTAAAATCTGTATGGATTGTTGCAGAGAATACGAAAAGATACAATCATAGGGGCATGTGTGGTTTTTATTTAGGAAAATAATGTATAAAAAGAAAACATAAACAAATCAGTTGAAAAGCAGACATGAAAATGTGCTGACTACTATCTGAGATCAGCATTAGAAGAAGCAAACACATAGAGAAACGCTGAGCGGCTTAAGACTGTGTCTTTGAGGTTTTTGTTTCAGAACAACAGGGACCGACATGAACGGTTATGCCATCTAGCAAGGCCCATTATTAAAAACAATTAACTGATATCTGAAAAAATTTTTTTTTTTATTAAGACATTATGTTCTTGTCATTTCCTGCAGGTTTTACTGGGATCTGTTCATGCTGGTTCTCTTGATAGCCAACTTGATCATCCTTCCAGTGGCCATTTCCTTCTTCAACGACGATCTCAGCATGCACTGGATTGTCTTCAACTGCATCTCGGACACTGTTTTCTTCCTGGACATTGTCATTAACTTCAGAACAGGTAAGAGAATAGCGTATACACCTGGCCTTCCCTACGTCTTCTTCCTGGACATTGTCATTAACTTCAGAACAGGTAAGAGTATAGCGTATACAATTGGCCTTCCCTACGTCTTCTTAGAGCTCACCGGCTGTAAACTCTGACAGAAAGCTCTGGTTGTTTCCTTATCTAGAACCAGTCATCTCCTTGTGAGATGCAATGTTTCGTTATTTGAAGCCCTACTCTGGCTCTTGCCAGGAACCGCAACATATCCCGATCATAAATATGGTCTAATGGCTGAACGCGGTTTCTAGGACCCCTCCACGGTGATCCTCATCCACATTGTGGCACTTTATGTCATCGGGTGCTTATCGCTTGTGTGATGTCCTAGTGGGGTAAAACTCTACTACTGCTACTATTGGATGTTTGCCAAAATTCTGGACTTTGGTCTCGTTCCAGAACACGAGTTTCGCGTGCACATTCGTTTTACAGACCTAGCTTATTTGTTTGCAGACTGATGTTTCCTCGGCTCTCAGACATACGCACTCATGCTTCAAAGGAACATACAGGGCTATTTTATGAGACCATAGTGTTGAATGAAGTATGTCCTACACACAACAGTACACCACTAGATATTATCTTTCTACTAAGTAGAATTTTACTCTCAAGTCATAATTTATCGCCTCTAAATGACCAGTTACTTTAAGCACTTTTTTTAAAATATGTTGTTTTCATTCTAAACTCTGTCTCTTGCAACTATTTATTTAAGATAACAATTGTTAGTCTTACAAATACTGAATCACGGTGTTATATCACCATTTTCGTGTAGAATATGTAGTGGCACAAAAGATCGTGTTCGCCGATTAATATATGTCCTCTGTGTATTTAAAAAGTTTGAGCACTAATTCTCTGTCATGCCACTTTAAGTGCGGCCTCCGTGGCTAAGGCGTTGCGAGTCTGACTCGTAATTCCAACGTACCGCGATCGAAACCCACTGCTGGCTGCGTGGATTTTTTTATCATGGTATTGCGCGTCGCTGTCGACCTATCCTAAAATGGGTACCAGGATGGCTGTCCTAGGGAAGTAAAGACGGCCGGCGAAATGCTGAGCGAATAGATCATTACTTAGTGGAAAGAGTGGTTCAGCGGGGAGTGAACAGAGGATCTGTCTGACACTTTGACGACATATAATCAATCTGTTACTGACCTACCCAGTGCTGCATGGGATATAAAAATATGGGCGCTCTTCTCATATGCCCGATGCGCCAAGGGCGTGAAAAGGAAATCTTTACTTCACTTGTATGCCACTCTAAGAAGTCAGCTAAAAATGTATCTCTATTTGATTTTAGTCTTTAGCTAACTTTGTCTACCCAGTTATCTCTGGACCTTCTCGTTTCATAACATTTCGAAACAGCACGGACTTCCTTACTGCCTAAAAAAGCAATATTCAGTAATCAACTAATAGAGAGTTGATTGAAGCATAAATAACATTTAATTGAAAAGTAAAGGATAAAGGGTGAAAACTAACACAAGACAGGTTTAATTACCCAGGCTGAGACAAACATGTTAACGGTTAGCTAAAGAAATAGCTTGACATAATAGATGCTGTTCTTCCCAAGTTCTTGCAAGAGAGTATTCGACCCGTCATACCCTTTACTTTTTAAACAGTGAACTTTACCCTCTTCATCACATTCAGCACATGGTCCTAGTCTCATGTGTGTATAGCGAGATCACAAGACAATTTGAGATGTGGTCAATAGCACGTCGGACGCTTTTATTTCCTAGGCTGTTTTCTTGTACTTAGTTTAGGATGGTTGAACCTGGGTGTTTATCCCAATTTTAGATCAGATTTCTGACTCATTGAAAATTCGAGCACATGAACATCGTTTACTAAGTGTCAGAGAGTGTAAGAATGAGAATTTACCCGACTGAAAGATCGATGCATGCAGTATTAGTCGGATAACTAGATATAACTTGAAAAAAAAACACACACACACTGAGCTTTGTAATCAGACTAGTGCAGCGTTAGAATTTGGGTAATATGCGTTCTTGGACAGGTAAGTTAGCATATGTGAATGTGTGTACGCGTGCGGGCGCGCGCGCGCGCGCGCGTGTGTGTGTGTGTGTGTATGTGTGAACGTACATTTGCCAAGGTATAATGGCTCATCGTGAAACACCGTGTTTATAATATCCTCATTATGCTCCAAGTTATATCTTATAGTAAAGGGTTTTATACAACCAGAGGACTTCGTGGATCCTGTAGTCAGGATCACGCCAGCAGTCTTTATTTCACAAAACTTCACATAGTACGCATTTAAGTCTAGGTAGAACTGGGGAACCAACTTTATTTTTGAAAAAAAAAAATGTACTGCTCTGTTCGAATTTTAACCCCCGACTATGGGTTCCACAGGCCAATGTCTAGCCTAAACACCACGGCTGCTTCCATTTTTTATGTACTCGTATAATTCACAAGTATTCTTTTTCTTAGATGCCGTTTCATTTTCCTAATTGTACGCAAGGAACGGAGTGGAAGGGCAGAATGTTAGACGGGCCTGCGTGTCCAATTCTTAACCCTTCGAAAATATAGTTCGTTCGTTCGTTCGTTCGTTCCTCGACAGTCACAACGTTCTCCAGTTTTCCCCTTCTTAGGCCGTCTCAAGAATGCTGACTGTCTTCTGATGAGTGCAGCTGATTCTCTACTTGCCTTAATTTACCGCATTTAAAATCTAATCATTGCTGCCTGCTGACTCATATCAGCATTGCAATGATGCTTTGCATTTTTTTTTAGCATTTAATTCCACAATTTTTATAGAAAATCTTTACTCGCCCACTTCGGCATTCTTTCAAGGGTTACTCAACTCCCCCCTCCAGCTTTTCCTCTGCAAACTTTTGAAAACATAGAATCCAATCACGCTCTTTTAAAATAATTGTAGTCTTTACATTTATTTGAAAAATCCATTGACACGCTCAGTGAGCTCTGACACACTTTGACCTTAAGCGAGAAGTTCACGGTCAGTTCACAAAGGAATGGTTCATTTAGTTACTAATGCAAAATCTCTTCGAATTTTCCGCTCTTTCGCATTCCTAAATTTCAGTTTACAAATGAAATGAATTCAGAATATGTTTATTAATACTCATCTTGTCTAAGAGTACATGTAGTAATAGATGATGTCAGAATCAAACAGAAATAAAACAGATAATGTCAGTGGCTTATATTATCTCCAGCAAAATGCAAAAATTTGTGAAAGCTATAGAGATTTGAAAACTTTTTTTTTTTTTTTTTTAAATACTGAAAAGGAAAATTGTGAAATGTTACGTACAACTCTAGGGTATTGTATGATGCAGAAACCTGCACAATGAGCAAGCAACTAGAAAATAGAACTGAGTCTGTATATGTGGATTCACATAGGAATACATTATTTCGAAATTATTTTTATCTTTGAAGGGGGCATGTAATGTGTGTTGAGATAATATTATAACAGTTATACCGCCTATCTAGCTTCCACATCTACTGCATAGACATACAATTCATTATCAGAGTGGCAAGCATCACTTCAGAGGCCCCAGTAGTTACTATATTTTGGATATTTGGCTAGGTTTGCAGGTCTTTTGGGAAACGAACAGACAGATCAGCTGTGCTGCACCGCTCTGTAGTGACTTCATGCCTAACAAGCTATGTGTGGTCAGAACCCTTTGGTAGCGAGTTAACGATGGGAAAGAGCGAATAGATCATTACTTAGTGGAAAGAGTGGTTCAGCGGGGAGTGACCAGAGGACCTATCTGACACTCTGGCGACACATAATCAATCTGCAACTGATACCACGAAACTGGCCCTCCTCACTGTTTGCTGAAAATAGAGACGGAGCGCGTATAAGAATATCTTGCCTGCTGTGATGGTTTTTTTAACTCAACTCGGCATAACAAAACAACACACTTCTGTTTCTTGTCCGCACATTGCTGAGACACGCATTGAAAAGTTACATAATCGTTTAATACTTCTAGCAAACATTTCTACCTCAACTATACTGTGTTTGTCACGAGACGATCTCAGTGATTCCAGAAGTTAGTACTTGTAATAAGTTCTTCTGGTTCTAAAGAGACAGAATTATATTTACTCTGCGCTTTATCCTAATATTGCTTTAAACCGCACGGATTTAAATTGTTTCCAGTCCTTAGTCCAGACAAAGCGACTCAGTCTTGGGTAATGTTACACAATTACACCGGGGCTAGAGAATTCCCTTTCACATGCCCATGTCATAAATGTTATCTCCTGACCAGACTGCTTTGAACAGACTTTTGATGAGACTAGGGGTGTAGGTTTGATTCTCACGCCAGTGTCAGAATGTTATCTCCTAACACAGCCTGAGCGGGCCCTTTTGAACAGGGGAATTGAGTAGACGCTAGACATGGTGGAGCCGAGAAGTTTAAAGTTTCACACGTCAGTGTAAGACTAGAGAGAACAGGTGTTTGGCAATTAGGGATGTGTTATCTTGATCTTGGTCACGTAGGAAACACAATGGCTTCACTGACCGTCTTTCACACCGGCCAGTTAGATTCGGTGTAAACTAGATTGGGGCACTTAAGAATGTTTGCTCTAGGGATGTCAGTCCATAATTGACTGACAGGCCACTTGTTAGCTAATGTGATTTGATAGGTACTTCGGAGGAGGAGCTTAAGCCATCATCTTGAGGGTTGGGTAAAAACTAAGGAAAGGGAGGAGTTTAATTTGGACAATAGATTAATACTTATACTGCGAGCCTGTGGAATTCCCGTCATTAATCGCAGCCTGCCGGCAAACAAACAGGTCGACGTAAAGGTATATTTTACTGTCGTACTCTGGTTTGGCGATTAATGGGAAGTTCCCAGGTGAGAGAAAATATTAATTTTAATCTTGTATACTTAGGTTAGGGAGTTAAGCTTAGTCTATACTACCTTTTCCTAATTTGTCTGCACATTCTGCTTGAAATAGTTCTGTGAGTATTCAGTATCTCAAGTTAAGGAACTGCTAAACTATTCCTATTTCCT